AGAAATCAGTTTAAAGTGTAATAAAATAATTGGTGATGTAATATTTTTCCTATAATTATCACAAAAACACACAAAATAAGTATAAAAAGTATATTTGTATAGCCTTTGTTTTTAGGATTATTAACGAAGCTCATGTACTCAGACCAGTAATATTTGGGGTCACAAGTCTTTGCCATGGATATTTTGTGGGTCAGAAGATGAAAAGTTTGGGAACCACTGGTTTACAGTATTTTCCAGTACCACAGTGGAAGATGTATTTTTTAAAAATCCTCTGACTCCCTCTAATGGTGACACAGCTCCTCAGAAAAGTCATTTAGTGAGCGTGTTCTTCCTGAGCAGCTAATACATTAAATTATCACCTGCAAACGAAGAGGAAGCAGTGATGATGGTTTTTGCCTGTGTCTGTTTGAATTGTTAGTAAAATATCTCATGAATAAGAATGAAACTCTCAGGATGTAATTAATCGTTGCATCGGCAACTGATTAATATTTGAAGTCAACTTCTGTCAAGATGGCTGCCACAGCTTATTATCTTTTTATATAAAATGATACTTGAAAATAAATTTACATTAAAAAAAAGTTGGTTGATTCCTTTAAGGATTTTTAATGTAATTTAAAATTCCACTCAGGAGTTTTCTCCCATCGGGTTTGTAAATAAAAGTCATCAGCCCGCAGGTCCCCCTGTGGTCAACCTTCCCAAGGCCAAAAGAAAGGGTCCTGGAGTAAGCAGATCCCCCTGAACCCAAGTCAACGAGTAATTAAGACAACAATGGGACAAAAGACAGCAGTGTCCAGTTTCTGTAGGGGACGAGAAAGTGAGACGAGCGCAGAACAATACCTGCCTCTGAGTCCTGAAGTCACAGAGCAGGACTGCTGCAGACAAAAGCAGCCTGTTCGTCCTAATGGATGTGAAAATTATCTGTGGGAAAGACGTTTTCTGGCCGTGCAGCAACTTGCCTGTTTTGATCTGCCTCGCTTTGCCATATTGTCTGTGACCTTGTTGCAATTAGAGCAGTCTGATGCCCTTCAGTGCTTTGGGAGTGCAGGTATCAGCCTGTTTCAGGTCTGCAGGTTTTACTCCTTCATGCTGCTGAAAACTGTTGATGTAAACTAGACGTCACCTTTGCCTGCAGGGAGAATGATTACTGCTAAGAGTGATGAAAAGTCTCCCTAATCAGTCTTGTTTGAATATAATATACTCACCTGTATGATATTTTCAGAGAGATTTGCTGCTGGCTTTGTTTACACAAAAACATTTAAATTTATTTCAGCAACTATTTTGTAGCCTTTGTTTTTACTTCATCAGATAGATAAATAGATAATAGCATTATTATATCGAATAAACTTTTTAAATAAACCTAAGAAATAAGCTAAAATAATAAATTTAGTATTCATTTTTGTATTATAGTCATGCTGTAAACCTAATAAAGTGGTAGACTTTTTAATGCTGGTTTATTTCCTTCATTTAAATATTAAAAATTCTCAATTTTATCTAAAAATAAAACTTTATAATATTTTAATTGCAATAACAGCTAATCCAGTGCAATTCCAGGAATTGACCAGTAGAGGGCAGCAGCGGTCTAATGTTTGCTCGGTGCTTGTCAGAGGAAGAGTCGCGGAGCTGCGCGCGCAGCCAGTCAACATGGCCGCGTCCATGAACTTGTCGGTGCACAGACTGGCTGTTCTTTCACAAAGAACTGTTATCTCCACCTTTTTAAATGTTTCATGTCGCTCGGGCTGCCGTTGGAGGACGTCGCCCGGTCGTTGTTTCAGCGAAGGAGTCGAAGACAGAAGCACACATTTCGGCTTCGAGACGGTGTCCGAGGCGGAGAAGGCGAAGAGAGGTGGGTGACAACAGGTCAGGTCGACTGAAGAACTCCACTAATAAAATCATGTAATTTAAATTTCCAACAGCTTTCTTGCTGATACTGACCTTGAAGGGCGGGTTTTGGTGGTTTTAGATTCATGAGGACTCATTAGATAATTCGGCGTACAATTAACTCATTTAGCAACATTGAACACTTGATGTTGTAAATAAGGGTCTGCAATCATATTGAATAAGGGCCACACAGTTTACTTAACTCTTAAAATTAAGATCAGACTATTTATAATGCATCATTATTTCAGACATTGTTAAATCTGCTTGTTTAGATCTCATTTGTTAAGTTTACATTTCTCTTTGAAGTGTTAAGCGAAAATAAAAAGGCCACAAAAAATCATATCAAACTAGTTTTATTCATTACAAAAGTAGATTTTCTGTTTAAAAAATGTTAAAGGTTTATTTAGCATCCCAGAGTATCTCAGGAATTGTCAGTCAGTTCATTAATCATGTTAGTTTGGGTCATGCATGAAAACACAGTTGATTTGATTTTATTTGATTTATTTATTTAACAGGAAAAGATTATTAAAAATCAAGCCTGACTCAGCATAATTGCTATTATACAGCAGGTTCCTGTTCTGCAGCACATAAAACACTCAGAAATACAGCATCACAATCACATCATTATACACCATAGACACAAAGACACACAAGCATACCAAATTTCAGGAAGGCAGCATTTGCAAAATAGGACGTCTAAATAAGAGCACAACAAAAAGTGTCCAGCAGATGG